GTTTACCCTTATGTGGAAAATGTCAGTCGAATTGGAGAGTACGCATGGGGAGATGCGACTCATAAGTTTATTCTTGGTGAACTTGTTCAGCATGTGGAGGCCAAAGATAGATCGTATTTTGATGGATGCACTGTTGGTTTGATGGTATGCATAGATTATTCCGTTTCTTAATACCATAAAATTAAATTGGGAAATTCTAAAATCTTGAAGTGTATTGTAGGCTTGGCTATATGAACGTGTGCCTTCTTTGGGTAGGAGATCCACACTCGAGGCGGTTCCCCGACTATTTCGATGGTCGGGGAGCACCTTGCCTAATACAGTGGAAGGGTGTTCACAAGCCCTTAAGAAAATCATGAGGCATAAGGTAATTTATGTAGCTTTTATAGTATTACATGTTTTCGTATTATTATTGTTCTTCTTCTTCTTCTTCTTCTTATTATTATTATTATTATTATTATTATTATTATTATTATTAATTGGAATTGTACTTAATTCAATATGATTTGATTTGCAGGTGTATTNAATTTATGTAGTTTTTATAGTATTATATGTTTTCGTATTATTATTGTTCTTCTTCTTATTATTATTGTTATTATTATTATTATTAATTAGAATTGTACTTAATTCAATATGATTTGATTTGCAGGTGTATTCGCTAACCCCAGTTCTTGCCGAGCATCCATTGGTGGAAAAACAGGTTTCTCTTTAATTTTGGTTGATAATTTATATGAATTGTAAAACTTTTTGTTTAATTTATGTTTATCTATTATTGTACAGAGTTCTTTTGAGANAAAAAGAAGAGGCGGTCGAAGAGGGAACAAGTGGGAAGGCCAAAGAGGAGACAGAGGAGAAAAAAGAAGGTTTGTCGAATGATCAGACGGGTGGTGATGGTGGTGATGGTGATGATGGTTGGCACACCAGTTGGGCTATGATCGGACCGGTTGATTGCTCGGGGAGGACTGATAAGGAGAATGATGATGTGGATGAAGAATTGGACCGGTTGATCGCTCGGGTTTCCAAAGGTATTGGTATGAGTGAAGGGCAAGTCAAGA